ACGTGGTACTAAGCGTAAATTAAATAAGGAAAATTCGGCGACATAAGTGAAGAGATTAGGTGCCAACAGATCTTCGGATGTCTTAGAATTGATACATACGGATATTTGTGGGCCATTCCCTACGGAATCCTGGAATGGTCAACAATATTTTATATCATTCATAGACGATTACTCACGTTATGGGCACCTATATCTTATTCATGAAAAATCTGAGTCTCTGGACATGTTCAAAGCCTATAAAGCTGAAGTTGAGAATCAACTCAACAGAAGAATTAAAACCGTCAGATCTGATCGTGGTGGTGAGTACTACGGTAGATATGATGGTTCAGGTGAACAACGTCCAGGACCATTTGCTAGATACCTAGAGGAATGCGGTATCGTCCCACAGTACACTATGCCGGGTTCACCTAGCATGAATGGTGTAGCTGAAAGACGAAACAGGACTCTTAAGGATATGGTAAGAAGTATGATTGCTCATTCTTCTTTACCAGAGTCACTCTGGGGAGAAGCACTTAAGACAGCAGCTTACATTCTGAATAGAGTACCAAGTAAAGCAGTTGCTAAAACACCTTATGAGCTTTGGACTGGTCGAAAGCCCAGTTTAAAGCATTTACATATTTGGGGATGTCCAGCTGAGGCAAGGCCTTATAGGCCAAATGAAAAGAAATTGGACTCCAAAACAGTTAGCAGCTACTTTATTGGGTACCCTGATCGCTCTAGGGGCTATAAGTTTTATGATCCCACTATAAGGAATATTTTTGAGACGGGAACAGCAACATTCTTTGAGGATGTTGAGTTTGGGGGGAGAAATAAGGTTAGAGACATTAGTTTTGAGGAGGAATTGGCTTCAGATCCAATCCATACAGTTACTTTTGACAATATTCAGGTTCCTATACCTGTTGTTGCTCAAGAAGTAAATCCGGAACCTCAAGATGACAATGTTGAACAACTCCCTGTTCCAGAAGAACAAACTCAACAACCTCAAGAACCAGTGCCATTAAGGAGATCCACGAGAGAAAGGAGAAATGATATTCCGGATGATTATATTGTATTTCTCCAAGAACATGAGGAAAGTAGTGGAATGTTAGAAGATGATCCAATCAACTTCTCTCAGGCCATGAAAAGTTCTAACTCTCAACAGTGGATTGATGCCATGAATGAAGAGTACAAGTCTATGCAAGACAATAAGGTTTGGGAACTTGTCCCGTTACCAGAAGGTGCAAAACCAATTGGTTGTAAATGGATTTTTAAAACCAAGCGGGATGCAAATGGTAATGTGGAGAGGTATAAGGCACGTCTTGTTGCTAAAGGCTATACTCAAAAGGAAGGCATTGATTATACAGAGACTTTCTCTCCGGTTTCATCGAAAGACTCTTTCAGAATAATCATGGCACTTGTTGCTCATTATGATCTTGAGTTACATCAGATGGATGTTAAGACTGCATTTCTCAATGGAGACATTGATGAGATGATCTATATGGTGCAACCAGAAAACTTTGTGTCAGGAGACCCAAAGAATATGGTCTGCAAATTAAGGAAATCTATCTATGGACTCAAGCAAGCTCCTCGTCAATGGTATCATAAGTTTCAACAAATAATTATCTCGTTCGGTTTTGAGATGAACACTGTTGATGACTGTGTATATCACAAGTTCAATGGGAGTAAGTATATCTTTCTGGTTCTATATGTCGATGACATATTGCTTGCCACTAATGACATAGGCATGCTGCACGAAACCAAGAGATTTCTATCAAAGAATTTTGAGATGAAAGATCTTGGGGACGCCTCTTTTATATTAGGGATCCAGATACATCGAGATCGCTCTCGGGGTATTCTTGGATTATCACAAAAGAGCTATATCGATAAGGTACTTAAAAGGTTCGGCATGCAAGATTGCAGACCAGGAGATACCCCTGTTGCTAAAGGAGACAAGTTTAGTCTCAATCAGTGCCCTAAAGGTAACCTTGAAATTCAGGAAATGCAGAAGATTCCTTATGCTTCGGCTGTAGGAAGTCTAATGTATGCTCAGGTATGTACGCGTCCGGATATTGCGTACATTGTTGGGATGTTAGGCAGATACTTAAGCAACCCTGGTATGGATCATTGGATAGCAGTCAAAAGGGTTATGAGGTATCTTCAGAAAACAAAAGATTACATGCTCACATACAGAAAATCAGAACAGCTGGAGGTCATTGGGTACTCTGATTCTGATTTTGCTGGATGTTAAGATAGCAGGAAGTCTACATCAGGCTACATTTATATGTTAGTAGGAGGAGCTATATCATGGAAAAGTGTCAAACAGACACTAGTAGCTTCCTCCACTATGACAGCAGAATTTGTAGCTTGCTATGAGGCATCCAATCAGGGAATATGGCTGCGAAATTTTGTCACGGGACTGCGCATTTTGGAAAATGTTGAAAGATCACTAAAGTTATATTGTGACAATAAATCTGCAGTAATGTATTCCAATAATAACAGGAGCTCAACTAAGTCAAAACATATTGACATTAAGTTCCTGGTTGTGAAAGAAAGGGTACAGAGTGGACAGATATCCATAGAGCACATTGGGACAAACTCCATGATAGCTGATCCTCTTACTAAGGGACTGCCACCTAAGGTCTTTCATGAGCATACTGCTCATATGGGTGTGGTATTATTTGAGGATATTATGTTTTAGTGGGAGTTTGTATTTGTGGTGCTTTATGTTTGGTTGTATTGTCTGATCAGAATAAAGTATTCAGTTAAGACACTCTGTTACATTATGTTTGGTTTTGACCTCACTAAGGAGGACCAGTTGAAAATAGACATGTACTGATCACATTGCATGTAATTTTCATGCTGCACATCCATGATTGATCTATGTCGTTTGATTGTATTGGTATATGTGACCATTGATGGGTCGAGTCACGATAAATGTGACGAAGGCCGCTTTGATCCTATATTGATATAGTCAATGGACGAGATTGTTCGAAAATACCTTTTCAGTGATAGCATTTTTTGAGCTCATAAGGTTATACACAATTTAAGGAATCATATGGTGCCCAAGTGGGAGATTGTTGGATTTAATCTAATAAATCTATTTGTGGGCACATATGATTAATCAATGTGTATTGCTATCTTTCAGGATAACCCACTAAAGTGATCAATTAATTTGGGCTAATTGGGTATTTAAATAAGTCATGGGGTTATATGTGCAGATACCAGGTTGTAATTGTGATTTGTTCAGGGGCCAAATTGCAAATGTACAACATCTATAAATAAGGGGTTATGCTCCCTAATCTAGGGTTACATTCTCTAATTCTCTTCACCCCCATCTAGAGAGAAATTCGGCTAGAGAGAACCCTAAGGTTAGAAGATCAAAACTCATCTCAAGTTTAAGCAATGGATTCAGGTATAAGCTTCCGCTCCTTTATGATTTTTGTTAATCTCTTCGAATTAATCATGGCTATATGGTTTTAGATCTCAAGTTTTATGTAGATCTAACATGAGATTGTGTTTTGTTATAAATAGAAACACGTCCCTTTAGGGTTTAAGAGAGAAAAAGAGCATGAAAAAAGAGGGTTTTGATGGCTCTTTGAGATTAGAAATCTTAGAGAGAGAGAGGGGCCAATTGCAAGCATTGTAATCTTCTTCAAATAATCAAAGAATTGTGTGGTGTGGCTCCCGAGGATGTAGGCACGTTGTCGAACCTCGTTAAATCTAGTGTGTTCTTTCTTGGTTACTTTCATACAAGTTTTTATCTTTGATTTGTGGTGAATTTCTTTCTTGCTCAACTCTCAAACACAAGATCCGGAAGGGTACGGATTTGATTTGATTGTTTCGAATCTCCAACAACTACCATTTATATAAAACGAGTTGTAGTGAGCACAATATAAAACTAACAACAATTCTTTTCCATTTGTTCATTTAATCAATGTCATTTTCAGAGGAGGTTAATTATCATCGCCTAATTCATTGTCTTTCTTTGGACGAAAAGAGCAACCATAGTTTTGGCTTAATATGTTGAATCAATATTGTGCACTCTCATTGTTGTATGTTCTTTTGTATCAATAATTACATGCAGTACGCTAGAGTCCAGCAATAACCAGCTTGTCAATATCTTGCTACACGTTCGCAAGCATACCATTATAGTTGAAATCTGCAAATATAATTTTGATATCGATATTCACGTGCAATTTATATAAAACAAGCGTGAGAATGACAATTAATATATCACTATATGTGCATTGGCTTCTGTCTCTCCTAGTGATTTTCCTGAGGCTACACATGTTTGGTTGCCAGATAACAACAGCTTAACACCCATTAGAATATTGAGGCCGGCAGTTTATAGTCTAAACTAGGCCGTTGGAGATTCTTAAGTGAAGTTTGGATTTGTTCAAAGTTCTTTCCAAATTAATCAAAAACCTTATCTAAACAAAGGAGAATCTTAAAATAAACCTGTTGGATAACAAATCCCTCAAAAATTGAAATATGAGATTCTATGATTAAAAAAAAACCTTTCAGTACCATTATCACACCTTAGTTTTCAAGATGATTTTGTGAAATAAGTAATATCATGTACTAATAATTTAATAAAAAAAGAGAAGAAATTGTTGATGGTGTTATTAAAAGAATAAAAAGTGTCTCATGATTGGACCTGTTTCACAAAAAGAAATTAAAGAACTTAATATGATGGCCCTACGTCTACCATATCAAAACTTTAATATTGTAGGCTTGTGGGTTCATAAACTTTCAATAACTGCACAAAATTATTCCGAAGTTGTATGATGTTGGAACAGCGTTAGTATTTACAGAATACTTTAATGGCTAATTATGGTTCGGTGATTATTTCTGTAATATTACTACATTAGATTACTAAAAACATTTTGGAGATGACATATAAAAGGTCACATCTTTGCAACAGATAATTTACATCAAATTTGAAACCAAATCACTCAATATTTTTTTTGAGAATACCAAATCACTCAATTTTATATTGCCTGCTCTTTGTTTTCCCCATATTTTATTTTCTGAGTCCCATGTTTTAACTGTCACTTAGAGTTTAGTTTCTTCTCACCCTTCCTCTATTACAAGAGACTCTGTTTTCTCCTTTACAAACAGCTAAAAGCCTCTCACAACACAGTACATTCAATTGCACCCTGAATGAGTCCCTAAGCTCTCTCTCTCTCTCTCTCTCTCTCTCTCTCTCTCTCTCTCTCTCTCTCTCTCATCAATGGGTGACAGTGCAACCCTGGCAAAGGCAAGGCAAGAACTCGAAGATCTCTATCTCGGAATCCCAGATGCATCCGTCGACCTTACCTTCAAAGACATGACAAATATTCAACAGAATGATGTAGCCGAAAGAAAAACAACAACTAACAAGGCACCAATCCACGAAGACCCACACAAAGACCTGAAGACAGCCATCAACGACCTTACCAAATCCCCAAGCCTAGATTTCTCAAAGGCACTTCAAGGAGCCAAACCTCACGATCGTCGCACTATAGAAGATGAGCTCTATAGAGAGCACTATGCAAGGAGCTACGTTAAGAGGACTGGTAATGGGTTGAGGCCGCTCAATGTGGAGAGTAGTCTAGTGTATGATGATGCGAGTGTTATCAGTACACTCTCTCCTTTGGAAGAGAAAGGTGGAAAGAAGAGGACTGGAATCCCACACTCAAATATATGTGCTTTGTGCAATAAATGCATCTATTTCTTTCGACATCGTTGCTTGGTGAGACATATATGAACAAAGTCAATTTGAAGCTTTTTCCTCTCTCGTTCTTCTTTTATTCCTGTAATTACAGCGTACACATCTAGCAGCTTGCATAAATGCAAATGGCTCAATACAATATCCTGAGACCATAATTTTGAAATTTATACTTGTAATATTGCAAAAAAATATTCTCCTCTATCCTACATAACATTTCCAAAGTGAAACTATATCGATACCGAGAAAAAGAACAAACCTTAGGCAACACAAGGAGTAAGCTCAATATAACATATTGTTTTATTTATTTTAATTATTATTATTTTTTTGGAAACGTAATATGTAGATCTATCTGCAGGTGTGTGGAAGAGTATACTGCAGGAACTGTGTTGAAAAAGGAATGGGAGAAATGACTGAAGGAAGAAAATGCGTCGACTGCTTGGGGCGAAGATTTAGCCCAAGGTAAGCCAATTCTAAACAAGATCCAGCAAAAGTTCACAAAGGCAATCAAATACTTTGTTTTACTTCAAATGAAAATTCTAAAACAACCTTCCTTCGGTACTATTTCTCCTACTCGCCCTTCTAAACCTGTACAACACACTGACTTTCATTCTGTCATCAGAATAAAAACTCATTCATATGAAGTTTGGTCTCCCACAGGTACATACATAGAGCTGGAAAGACTGGATGTTGGTGGAGATATTCCAGCTTCGTGAAACAACAAGAGCTAATGTGGGCTGAGAAGGGCCCAAGAAAGAGAGGTGAACGCCGCTACAATGAGAAGAGTTCAAGAAACTCGGTCGTGATGCCTGCGACTCCAAGAAAGTCATATGTAGTTCCCGGAACTCCAAATAGATTTGCTGATAACTACAACAATAACCCGAGTTCGTTTATTGCAAGTTCTACGTTTTCGCCAAATCCTCATAATTTTCCTTTGTGAGGAAAAGGAAGAGAGGAGAATTTGTTTCCTTTAATTTAAGCTTTATTTGTTTGTTTGGATTAATTTATTTTTATTCATAAGTGTGTGAATGACATTATATGTATGAGAATTCGTTTATGGGAAAATTGCTTCTAGCCCCCAATTCCTTTACAAGTATTCCGCCCGCCACGACTTTTTTAACGATTCAAAAGCCCTCACAACATTATCTCACATTCCTTTAGCCCCTCAAACCCTTCCCTATGTGACCCGATATTTAAAAACAAAAAACATTTCCCAAAATGCCCTCAAGCAACCGGTCACTCTATCAAGCCGGTTATCGGAGAGTGAAGAGTAGTACTGTAGGCATTAAATGTTGATTAAAAAGTGGATTTGGAGGGGGGAACCCTAATTTCTTCCAAATTCTAACTATTTCATTTCCTCCCCCGCAGTAAATACATCTCCTCCATCTTTGCTTACCCCAACTACCCTCTTTGCTTACCCCAACTACTCTCTCCCGATCACTTAATTCTCCTCAATAAATCATCTTTGATTCTTTAACTACTTTTCTTTAAAATTACGGATGGCTCTCTTCTTTGCATGGTTACAAACACAAAAAGCAACAAAAAGGGTGAGAGTGTCTTTGTAGTTATCGACGAGTCTACAGAAATCATTCGCTTGAAATATAAAGTGTCCCAAAGGCTTAAAGTACAATTGCAATCTCTTTCACTGAAATTATGCATTGGTTGTTAACCTTATGCATTGGTTGTAGAGATTATGAGTTTGTTATCAAGGTTATTAATTAGTTGTTAAGGTTATGAGTTGTTTGTTAACATTTATGAAATAGTTTTGAGTTAGTTGCTAAAGTTATGAGTTCCATGTTAAGTTTACGAGTTTTTTGTTAAGGTTACGAGTTTGTTGTTAAGGTTATGGGTTGGTTGTTATGTTTATGAGTTTGTTGTTAAGGCTATGTGCTGGTTGTTAAGGTTAGGAGTTGGTTATTAAGGTTATGATTTGGTTATAAACCTTAGCAGGTATTTATGAGTTTTTGTTATCCTTATGAGTTGGTTGCTAAGGTTATGGTTGGTTGTTACGTATTAAAGTTTTTTTCCCACTTTTACAGGACTATCCCGACAGAAAATCCACGATGCGCAGCGGCTACGCTCACCTAAACATGTAATGATGAGTGTATTCCTAATAACAATCCCACTGGCAACTCGATCACGATGATGGAAGACATGGTTAACAACCAAACCAAGATCCCAACTCAGTGGCACACAACCATATGTGAAATTGGTCAAAAATTTAATAGTGTTGCTGAAGTTAGATTAGCACTTCAATACTACTAAATTGCGAAAATGTTCGAGTATGATTTCAATCGGGTCATCAATAACCTATATCCCAAAAAGCAAAATAAACTCATTACTCATTAGGCTTTTTAGTAGCTCAAATGAGGACCCTAACTAATCCTTGTTTACTTATTGATTTTGCTTCAATGTTAGTCTTGATTTGATTTATGATTTGGAAAATTGAACTTCACTACTGTGTTGGATGTGTTGGCATTAGGAATTAAGACCTTATATTATAATTCGATAGGAGATATTATTTATCTTGACATATTTGTCGTGTTAAAATTCATAAACATGTTCTTTTGTGCTCGATTATCTATCTTGTAAAGTTATATGTGTGGTGTGCCCCTCGCTTCACTGGAGCGCACGCATCGCGGTGCGCCTTGCACATGAGAGCGTAAAGAGACTTCGCACGCAACATTGCGTCTCGTGCATTGATAACATTGATATGGACGCCATTCATTTGCCAAATCATTTTTACTATTAATTTATTGGTCAAGTTGTTGGAGATATTATGTTTACTTCTTTCATCTTTTTAAATAATTCTTTTTTCTTTTCTTTAACATGTTGGCTACTTGTCTTCTTCTAAGGGGCTATTTGGTTCAATTTCTATAAAAAATAGGAAAAAGAAAAGTACTCAAAATTTGATTTCCTTGTATTTCTATAAAATTTATAGGAAAAGTTTATGGAACTCAAAAGAGTATCATATTTCTTATTTTTTGCTATTTCTTTGTTTGGTTCAAAGTATGAAAAAGTTTCTAATTTTATAGAAAATATGTTGTTTTCTTTTTCTTTTGTTTGGTTGGATGTCACTTTATAGAAAATAGTTTACTAACAATGCTCATGGGAAATCACAAGGGAAGAGTACTGATGTAATTAATTATTTTTTTATATATGCGTCAGATTTCTGGGTGATTTCTGCCCATTTTGAGCGGAAATTGATTTCTATAAAATTGGGTACTTTTCTGTACTTTATAGAAAACTTTTCTATAAATTTTTTGAACAAAACATAGTTTATAAAAATCTCTAGAAAAGTTTTATTTACAAAACCGCCACTATTAACCATTTTCTATAAAACCACTCACTAAACAGCCCCTAAAAGATTAATTGCTCCTTTGATTTTATAGGCTAAAGACATCAATTCTGCAAATGCATGTAAAACAATTCAGAGTAAGTTTTTTGGACTCAAAAGAAATTATGCCTCTTCATTTTCGGAGACACATAATTTGTGTATGCAGATATATCTTATAGAATTTGCAAATATAATGGCAGCATGCACATCAATTTCTTTTAAGTTTCCACATACGTTGATGGTAAACAACTAGCCTCTCTTGAATACTTTCTGGTGCACCCGGCATACGTTGGGGATTCGAAACAATCAATCGAACCCTTGCCCTTCCGGACCTTGTATTAAAAGTAGGAAAGTAGGAAAAAAACCACAAATAAATATCTAACCTTGCAAAAATAGTAAAGGAGACGAACACACAGATTTAACGAGGTTCGGCAACGTGCCTACGTCCTCGGGAGCCACACCACATAATTCTTTTATTAATTGAAGAAGAAATACAAGCTCTCAAACTAGGGTTTAATCTCTCTGAGATTCTCTCTCTTTCTGCAGTCAAAAAGCTCTCTTTTTGTGTTCTTCTTAAACCCTAAAAATCGTTTAAGGTATATATAGAGTCCCGGTAGAAACAGAATCCAAAACAGTTTAGGAAACTGTTTGACTGCGTCGCGGTCGACCGCGCAGGTTTCACGGTCGACCGCGACGGTCGACCGAACCAAAATCCGAGACCAAAACCAATTACAGAGATTTGTGCGGTCGACCATCACGATCAACCGCCTTCGGATCCAGCTACTCCTGAGTCTCTGTGCCTGTTTGCGATCGATCGCAGAAGACTCGCAGTCGACTGTGGATCTGTCTGCCTATTTTCTTCGTCGTTTTGATTCCAGCTCTCATCTCGGTTTTGGGTCTACACTTTAGACTAACAGCATAAATAAAGAAATTACAGCAATAGTAAATGACTAAAGAACAATCTAAGTTAACACACAATATTCCATTCATCAGGAGCTAAATATTTTATATACACGTCAAATAACATAATTTCATACATCTAACAAGGAACAGGTAATAAATCAACTCAAATATAAAACAATCTTGCAGATGCCATTGACCATAAACAACAAGTAACCTTTGAAGCTTCCATTCAAAGTACAAATGTCTGCGAATATTAATGCAAACTTCAGAAGTGTTGCAGCGGAGGGGCTTCACAGACACAGAAGATGTCTATACAAGAGTGGACAAAGAGAACAACACACAAAGATTTAACGTGGTTCGGTCAGTATGACCTACGTCCACGGGCGAAAACAGCAGAGAACTTCACTAATCACCAAAAGAGAAGATTACAAAAGAGGAGATCATTCTCTTGCTAGAGACTCACACAAAGAAAGAAACAAATTCTTTCTATCTCACTCTCTTCTCTCTAACTCTCTTCTTTTCTCTAAATATTTTGTTTCTCTCCAAGTGATGCTCACTGCCTCGATGCTCTAAACCATCTCCCCCCACCCCTTTATATATGTTACAAAAAAATAATAAAATATACAAAAGGGGTTGGTGAGGCATTGATCTGGCATTGCAAAGTTTGAAAAAACTCCACAAGAGTTAGGCAAATGAAGACATTTTAAAAGGCACGTGACAAATCTCCACATTGACTTTGAAAATGAAGATGTTCTCTTAGCTCTTGCTGTCTCGCCAGAAGTCCCTTACGGGCTTAACCTCCGCTTTGTCGAACTCCAAGCAATTCGAGACAATGCTCGAACTTGCGCGAAGGTATGAGCTTCGTCATCATATCTGCTGGATTGTCTATAATACTAATCTTCTCAATCATGATGACTTTAATTTCTCTGATAAAATGATACCTGACATCTATATGTTTGGTTCTTTCATGATACATCTGATGTTTCGTCAAATGTATAGCACTCTGGTTGTCACAAAATACCGTAGTAACACCTTGGTGTAAGCCGAGATCTTCAACCAAACCTCTCAACCAAATAGCTTCTTTCACTGCTTCTGTCATTGCCATATACTCTGCCTCTGTGGTAGACAAAGCAACTGTCGACTGTATAGTCGCCTTCCAACTAATGGCACTACCTGAAAGAGTGAATATATAACCTGTCAAGGATCGTCTCTTATCCAAATCGCCCGCATAATCTGAATCAGAATAGCCAAATATTCTGCAATCTGAGTCTGTGTTCCTACCAAAATTCAAACCAACATTAGCAGATCCTCTTAAATATCTAAGTATCCATTTCATAGCCTGCCAATAGACCTTTCCAGGCTTATCCATATACCGACTCACAACACTGACTGCATGTGAAATATCTGGACGGATGCAGACCATCGCATACATAATGCTTCCAACTGCACTAGCATAAGGAACACAAGACATGTACTGCTCCTCCTCCTCAGTCTGAGGTAAAAAATCTGCTGAAAGACAAAAATGAGCGGCAAGCGGAGTCTTCACAGGCTTGGCATCAAGCATGCCAAATCTCTCCAACACCTTCTTGATGTATTTCTCTTGAGATAGGAATAAACTTCCTTCTCGTCTGTTCCTGTGGATCTTCATCCCCAAAATCTTCTTTGCTGCTCCTAAGTCCTTCATCTCAAACTCATGTTTGAGTTGAGATTTCAACTCGTTGATTTCTAACATATCTTTAGCTGCAATTAACATGTCATCAACATACAAAAACAAATATACAAAAGAACCATCATTGAGCTTTTTATGATAAACACAACTATCGTA